CCCAATCCAAAAGACCCATCACTCATGCTCAATTCGAATCCACACTTACAGCTTATAATAATCTCCGTGAAGAGAAAGTTAGAATTTGGTCTCCCTCGTCAGCATAAAAATAATCTTTCTTCCCCAGGCTAGCGATGTGTTACAAAGCAACATCTAAGAGAAAGTAAGTCACATACAATAAGGAAAGCGAGCAGAAGCTGAAATAATGGGAAGCTGTCCAAAAACGTATATGTGAGGCAGCGAGGTGGAATCAGGCTCTCATCAATTTTTGGGCATGTAGAGTTATTGGTATCATCTTAAAGCTTGTTTACTTGTCTTTATTTGGATGAAAAAACATCCATTTATCTTGAATACAAGTCAAGATATTTACGAAGGAAGGAGGTGGGGGCCATCTGTTTTCAGAGGTAAAATTAGTGAGAAAATGGCCTCCAAAGATTTTTTATTTCCTTAACTTTAGAGTCCGCGGTGAATTAAAATTTACATTTTTTGTGCCTTTAATCAACGTTTTTAAGAGAAACCCACTCAGAAATGAGTTTTTTAATGGGCATGAAAAGTGTTGAGCCAAAAAACAAAAATTTGATAAAAATTCACAAACCTGCGGAAAAATGCAAGTTTCTTCTTTTTGATTATTTTGACGAGAGCCTGATTCCACCACGCTGCCCCACATATATTTTAGTGCTATCTGAATAATGCTGCTTTGTTCGATTAGAGTCCATACCCTATCAAGGACACAGGCTTCTTTTATGGCCCTGTTTTGATAATAAGGACTTTTCAGTTCTTATTATTACAGGGAATCGAAAGAAGAGTACTTTAACAGACATACATAGTGTATACTTCCAAAACTCGATACCTGAGCCTCAAACCAGTAAAAAAAAACATTTTAAAAGTAGAAACAAAAATATAAAAAACAACAACAAACAAACAAAAACGACAAAACGACAATCACTGTCTGCCTCATTAAGTCCCCATACCCTCGCTTGGGAACAACTGGATAGCGCATTATCTACTGTAAAACTGCAAATATATTATAAGAGAATGTTTTTAAAATGTCTTCTGTTGTTCGATTCGAGTTCAAGCTGGTTGGTGATGGATTCTCCCTGCTGATGAGTGGGGATATGCGCTATACAAATGCTATCTATTACTAGGAAGGAGACCTCGAACCCCAACAGAGCCAGAAGAGAGAATTATCTCAAAGTCTCAAAGTAGAACTCTCGTACTTCAAACAATTTAAACACACACACACA